TTAGTCTTGTTAGTTGTCCCAACGACACTGTTTAAGGTATAGGACACTTTGGAACATTTTTATTTGATAGGATTGATTACTTCATACTAACCTTGTAGATGTCTTTTGGAATTCTTTCCCCCAGAATCATCCTTGTTATCATTTGTATTCATTGACAAGTTAAGAGTCAAACCACCGTTAACCTTATTCTTCACCATAGTGGCCTTAGTGTTCTTTGAAGTTAGGCCAGTAGCCATCACCATTATTGAATCCATTGTTTTATTTGGAGACTCTACATCCTTATTATCTTGGCAAACGGTACTAGTGTTCAATGCAAGCAACACTTGATTCAGTCAGCAGGATCTGGTTTGACCGTTTCGTCTATCAAGTCATCATTAAGCAGGATATCCTTAAATTCATCCGATGAATAGAAACCTTCATAAGCAAATTGTCATGGTTTGACCGTTTGAATTGGTTCAATCGAGTGGCCATTTGGAGATGTTTCGATCACATCCCCGATGGGGTTCGAGAGTCAAGACTCCAATAGTGGTTGAAGAGCTGGATGCAACACCATATTCAATAGCACGTTTCATCCGAGGTTTAACCTGTGGTTATTGGGTCACTACTTTAAACCAATCTCCATAAGACAATTTCGTATTCGGATCATCCATTTGAAGGGTACAAGTCATAGTGGTATTGCCTATCAAACCACATTTATGACAGAAGTTGAGTAAACATTCATATTTTAAAGGAAGAATTTAAGGTTTACCGCCTTTACTATTACTAAGAAGAACACGACGCCTTAATGGATTAGTAATATCGATTTCAACCTCCACTCTAAGGAATTCACCACTTACCACCTTATATCCTCATATCCACAACTATGACCGTTCCAATACATTTACCCAAATTGAGACCCATCTCTTTTGTTATAGCACCAAGAGGTATGTTAAATATCCTAGTTCAAACAAGCATGATATTGAATGAATAATCGTCAAGTCATTTTCCAAAATCGTATGGAACCAACGAGAAATAATCTCCTTCAAAGGTTCATGAATATCGACTAATTACCAACTTCATATAATCATCGGAATTGAATTTCACACGAAAGGTATGTTCCTATAACTCCTTAATGACGTCTACCATTTGAGTACCCCAAACAGCTCTAAATACCCTAGCCAATGTATTGCCATCAACTATCCTTTGAGTGATGACCTTTTCGATCAAGCAGGTATTCACATTCGCAATCTCCTCAGCATGATAATCCCCATGGGTCACGATATCTCCAGCTTCTAATTCCGTGAATGAAAGCTCTTTCAATTGTTGGAGAATGAAATCAACAATAATAAAAAAATTATTAATAAAGCTATAGATTCGCGAAAATTGTTCTAATAATTGGGGGTATTGGTACCACCATTTAGCAGTTCGAAGCAATAATAATAATGTATGACTACACAAGTACCCTTGGTTTGGCGGATATATATAACGGTGTATTGACGAAAAGCTGAAGAAATAAAGTTCTAAACAAAATGGAATTAAATATCACGAAAAATAGGAGATAAGGTCTATCGTTTCATTCGCTCGATAAGAGGTTCGAAACAACTAATGTAGAGAAAGCACTAACTAGAGAAGAGGTTGTAGCAGGCAAATAAACTACAATATTCTCGACCGAGGCAATAGAGGATGATTTAACTATTGTAGGAGTAGCCAAAGCCAGACATTTAAGCACAAGGGAAACAATACCATGCCTTGGTTAAAATTGAGCTCCGACAATAGATAAAAGTCCATTGCAAAGCCAATCACCAACCTAAGGGGCATTAATGACAACTTTGTCTCACTAAGACTTTGACATTGTATTTCCATGCAGGCCATAATTAAAGCAAAATATCAAAAGATGTTCATATTTCAGTAGGACACAATCAATCATTCTCCTCATCCAATAGCAACACAACCTCGTGATGATCTTTGAATATCAATAACAATTCAAATAAGGAGGCAGAGATAAGACCTCGTCTGACCGGACCCAGTGCAAAGATCAATAGCAAAAGGATCCCCTAGATGACAACCAATTAATGTACCCATGAACTCGATTGAGAGAGACATCATAAACACATGCCTAGATCGAAAGAAGGTTAAATTCATAATTGCTAAGACTACGCTAAACAACATAATAGACCATAGCCAATAGATCACATTAAATAGCCGCCAAGGTGTTCGATCTAAGATTGAGTCCCTAAAAATACAAAAAGAAAACTTAAAAATAAAATATTGACTACCTAAATGAGTAATATCATTGACACTTGTCAGACACTAAATGTTGTAGGAAACCCTAATGATAGAATCATGATCAACTGAGACTGTATAAAAGAGGTAGCCCACCACAAAAAAAGTGGTTGAACCATTCAACATAGGTAAAGGGACTCTAGAATAGAGTACATCGCCGATTTCATCCTTAGTAAACTTAAGATTATCCATAAGATGTTAGGCATCATCAATCATAGAAGCAAAAGAGATTAACCAAAATGTGAGATAAAAATGAAGGAGGAAAGCATATTAACACAAACACGTATAAGGATAAAGCCCATGAACTGCACTAAAAACCATTGCAAAACCATAACTACCAGTATGATAGAGAGGAAGGCCCCCGACAATACCAACTACTGGTGGCCACGTGCACATAAAGAGAGCTAAACCCATGAATGAGCCATACAAAAAGAATTGACTTACGTGTCTCGCACCATCCCAACCACCTGGAGAAACAACCCCCGTGAGGAAAAGAATAGAGAAAGAATTATATAGAGGTTGAAACATATTCCATAAAAATGATACAACCAGTCTGGAAGGAGATAGGAACCATTGAGTATAGACTATAGACCAAACCCGAGAAGAATGATGAAGAGTCTACACAAAATAATAACATCACAAAGAATCCCAATATCCCAACAAAAAAGTAGGTCGTCGTATGAGAGCAAAGAAACAATAGACTAGTAAAGGACCAAAGGAAACCGGTGAATCAAACATGCACCGGAGGCTAAATAAGAACTTAGATAGCCAAGGCACCCTTTAACCACAAGAGAGTCCAAGATAAAGACCATTATCACAAATAATGGTGGAACTTGGTTATAAAGTTTGGAGTCATACTTAGAACTTTAAAAAAATTAGAAATTAAAATTAAAATTTTCAAATTTTATTGAAGCGTTCAGTTTCTAATTTTTTCAAAAAATTACGTTTAATTGCTTAATAAGAATTTTTAAATATTATGGGAGTGGTTTAATTAAGAACATAAAATAATTTCAAGTTTAATATGAATTTCTAAAAATTTTAAAAGAAAAAATATTTTTTAAAAAAAAGATTAAGTGTTTAAATTATAATTTTTTAAATTTTGGAAGGAGTCATGACCTCCATATACCCTTATTGTGTTTCACCTGTAATCATAAATGTTAATTGATTAAATTAAAAACAAAATATAATAAAAATATATTAAATACAAATTTACATGATACTAAGTTTTTAATTAAGTGAAATAAAAGATTGTAACACTTATTCTTTGGAAATTTTTTGTATGGATGTCAAGCATTTATATCCACTATTAATTTTATACGATAAAATTTATAAATGGACATTAAACTATATCAAAAATGAGACATTGAACTTTGATAAATTATATAAGATGATTAAACTTTATATTTTGTTATAAAATGGACACAACATCATTATCTATCATTAAAGATGTGATGTAACATGTTAAATTAATAGAAAATATCTTATTTGACCCTTGAATTGTAACTAAAATTTTATTTAAAATAATTTTTATTATGTTAGTTGAACTGAAAACAAAATGGATATAAATGAATTATATATTATTTTTTAGTATAGTATTATAAATATTAAATTTATACAATTAAATCACTTGATACATTATTAAAAGTTAACGATTATTTTGATTATATTAATTTAAGTTTGGATGTATTTTTCATATTAATTTGATACTATAATGTTTTGGATTTATTTTTTAAAATTGTGTTTAGACTTTTTAAACAAAAGTCAAATGTTTGAATCACATCGTTTAATAAAAAATAATTACATTGTTTGGAAATTTAATTTTAGATCTCAAAAATTATAAATTTTTCTTTACAAATACAATCACGATTAATAAATAATTAGTTATAAAATAATTTGATGAATGGAAATTTTTAAGATATTATAATTTTTACTTTTTCGAAAAAACATTTTCACATATTTTTTAAAAATATAATTTTTTTAAAATTATTTCTTAAAAAATATTAAAATGAAAATTTAATTATAATTGAGGGATAAAATAAGATATTGTTTTTATTATATCACGTCATCTCCTTAATAATAGTTTAACACCACTACTTATATTTTAATAAAATTTGGAAATTAATGTTTATTTTGAAACTTTTAAAAATTTATTGACAAATAAAAGTATTTTAATAAATTTAATGACTGCTTATATATTTTATCATATTTTTATATTACAAGTGCATATCAATGTCACTTATTCTATACTCTCTTTTTTTTTTAATTATTTATTAAAAAGAATTACTATGCATAAAAAGTGAAATACGTAAATTATAGTAAATAAAAAAAATCTAAAAATTGAAGAGGACGAAACAAAAACGAGTGAAAGGGCAGTCCACCAGTTGGCCGTAATACTCGCTCATTCCTTGTCTTTCCCCCCTCGAGGCCAGTCCTTTCAAACTCAACAAAACAAAACAACACCCAGAATTCTACAAACATTTTCAATTACACATGGGTTTCATGCGTAATAGATACATTTAATCGTAATTGTTCTACAGGTGAATAATTGAAAAGGAACAAAATTCATCTGAGTTGATTCTGTTATTTATACATGCCAGTAAACTTCCCCGTTAAGGTAATTTTTTTTTTTTGCTTTTTTTAATTACTGCAATGCAAATTATTAATGGAAGCTTACGATTTTTTAGCATACGTCGGCCGTTGACAATAGTCTGGCCGGTTTAACTCTCGACGACGTTCTGGGAAAAGCTAAACAAGCTACACCACCGCCGGCTCAGAACAATGCTAAACAATCTGCACCACTGTCGGAAAAGCAGAAAGGTAAACAATCTGCAACACCGCCGGAAAAGAAGAAAGATAAACAATCTGCAACATCGCCGGCTCAGAATAAAGCTAAACAATCTGAGCCACTGCCGGCTCAGAACCGTACACTTCCGGATGCTGTACCAGATGATACATCTACCAAGGACAAGGTGGGTTGGAAATTATTTCGGGAGAAGTTCCTGCACAAGAAAGCCGCCGGTAGGGCTTGGACCTCCTCGATTCGTATCCCAGCATCCGATGTTAATGTTCAAGGTAATAGATCACAGAGACGGGGCATTTCGTTTACCGATGCGAATCACACCGATGATGGAGGAGAACGTGCCCGGGCTGGGAAGCCCCGGCCGCAATTGGCTCGGAGGACTTCGGTACGGTTTGATAACCATGATCCCCCGGATGCCACAATTAAGCCACAAAATGTTCATCACGATGATGATAATGACAACGACGAAGATGACTTTCTTAGCGAAGGTTCTTTGACCAGGAAGGAGAGGTCATTGTCTGCGAGGGAAGCAGTTGCTTCACAGGAAGCAGCGGAAGCGGCTGCAGCCGTGGCGAAACAAGAAGAGGCAGAAAAAAACGGTTCGCCGGAGAGTGAGGAACCTGTTAAGATGTCGTTGATGGATCTGTTGGGCGACGAGTACGAAGAAGATGATGAAGAAGAAGAGGAGGAAGAAGAGCAAGAGGATGAAGAAGAAATCGTGCAATCGAAGGGAATCGAATTCACGTGTTCCATTTGCAATGTCAATATTTCGAGCTCGGCGTATATGCCTTGCGCTCATACGTTTTGCCGGCTTTGCTCCAAGGAGCTTTCGGTTCAGCGAGGAAGCTGCCCGCTTTGCACTGCTTACGTCTCCGAAATTCTTCACATCTTCTAATCATCCTTTTTATCTCCATTCTTTGCTGCTTTTTGTTTTGTTTTTAATATTAATAGCTTTAAGAAATCATCTGCCGTCTCCACTCTCATTTTGTGTGAACAATTCTTCTTTGATTACCACATCCTTTTCCCACTTTTTCCCTTGCTTTTCTTGTTCCAACTTATTGCCATGATTTCATTGAAACATTCAAATTATATTTAATTAGATTTAAGGCTATATTACACATTTAGCACCATTTCCCTATTTGTTTTTTATCTTCACATATAGTGTTATAATTTATCTAAAATTGTCAAACATCCCATGCAAAGATATTAAATCCTGCTTAACAGAAACAAAATCAACGATCCATAAGTTCAAACATGAAAAAAAATCAATGATCCATAACTACAAAGCCCAAAGTCCGTTTGCTTCGTCGTCTTCCTTGGGCACAACTAAGGCCGTAAATGAGACCAGACAGATCGCGAGCTATTCGGGATCGACTCGATCAAGGCTCGATAAATACTCGGATCGAATGAACTCAACTCGAGCTCAACTCGAGTTCTTAACGAGCAGAAACGAGCTACTCGATATTCGACTCAAAAAACTCGTGAGCAGCTCGAAAAATGTTATATTATAATTTTAGATTTTTTAAAATTACATTATTAAAAATATATTAAAAATACATTATTGATAATTATAAAATTTTAAAAATATATTAAAAATTCTATAATACAACAACTCTCAAATTTTAATTTTTTTAATTAACCAGCCCAAGTTCAATTGTTATATTGTATATTACTAAAAGAAAAATAAAAGCCCATTTAATTAAGCACTTATTAGATTACACGTGTTTGGTTAATTTTTTCTTTCTTTTTTAACTTTTTACTGCACAAGTACTTAACAACTTAGAAAAATAAAATAAAAAATAAGAAAAAACAGCCAAACAATAGAAAAATTGAAAATGGTTAAAAATTATTTTTGAATAAATATTCTTATATTTATTTTAAATTAATAAAAAATATTTATCTAATGACAATTATTTAATATATTTCTAATGATAATATTTTTAATAACTAATATTTTAAATTGTTGTTATATTTTGAGGTTTCGGGTTCAAATATCATAAATATAAAGGGTTTGAGCATTTAATATCAAGATACTATATTGTACTTACATTATAAATCAATACTAAGTCGATTAATTAATGTCTTTGTAATGAATCTTAAACCCTAAACTATAAACCCTAAACCTTAAACACTAAACACTTAATCTGATTATGTGATATGGGTTAAGTTATGTACATGAAGGTAACATACAGTAAAAAATTAAATGTAAAATAACTTTAAGACTAAAACCACCAATTAAACAAAATCAAGTAATAAAACATAACTCCTTACATTTCATATACTAAAATCGAAATAAACCCAAGAATGCATGTAGGACTAAAATGTTAATTAACAAAATTACAAATTAAATGTACAAATAATATAAAAATCAAAACAACATAAGGAAGAACCAAAATGAAAGGCGTATGAAATATAAATACACAATTAGAAACCCGAAAAAAGCTTAACCTGAGGACCAAATTGCATCAAACCAAAACTAGGCGGAGTTCTCTCACAATTTACCCCCAACTCGGCTAGAGACCAATCACCCTAATTTAAAACTTTACCATTTTGACGCATTTAAAAACCCTATTTGGGTAAAAATAAAACCCTAAACATTTTGCTAAACGCCTTCAACCGCAATCTCCTTCCCCACTTCTCTATTTTCCCACGAAACCTCTCCTAATCTTTGGTGGTAACCCTCTCCCTCACCACTCATGCAGCACCGCTCATTGGCACTCACCAGCACACCGACTACCATCTCGGTGGCCACCTTTCATTTCGATCGCCCCCATATATATACGAAAGAAAGAACCCTAAAGATGCTTCTTTTCTCAACCCTTCAGTTCGGTCGAGACATCAAGAGTCTTAAACCCTCTCCGATCGACACCCTAAACCAAATACCTAAACCTTTCGAGAACCAAACAAAACCAAACTCAAATCTAAAGCCCTAAAACCACAAAAAATATCCTCAAATCATAATCTAAAATAAACCCTAAACTTACATTTAAAAAGCGAGGTCTCACCTTCGATGGCTACAGGATTTCCCTTCAAATGACGAGAGGCTCTGTTTTGCTCCGGCGGTAGTGACGATGGCTCATCCAAACAGGGTAAGGCTTCTTTATTTTTACCTTTTTCTCTTTGTTTCGAAATCTTGCCGACCAAAAGAACAAATATGCTCTTTAGTGTTATACTGAAAATATTTTATTCTCTATGATTGGATCATTGATCAAAAGTAGTATGTTGCTTATAAGGAACAGAGAATCGAATTAAAAGAAAACCCTTGTATTATTATTGCTTTCGAAGAAGAAAATGGGGGAAGAAACCCTTAATCTGATGAAATTGCAAAGCTAATAAATGGGAATGAGCAACTTAAAGCTGTGATTGGGGATTTGAAGGTATGTATTGTAACATCCTTAATACCGAGTTAGTAATTAAAGTATAAGATTTTAAAATTTCAATGACCAAATTAGATAAATTGAAAAGTGAAAGAATTAATTGAAATGTATTGTGTAGGATAATTTAATAAATGAAGCAGAAGTAAAAGGGAAAAAGGGTCATTGAGCAAATAAAATAATAAAATAATAATTGTGAGTATTATAATACCCATGTGGAACATGCTTTGAAGAGATAAGTTTCCAGACTTATCTTTTTCATCTTCTTTTTCTCCCAAACGTGAAGCCTCAAGCTCAAGGTGAGTTTGATTTCTTTTGGTTAATCCTTCAAATTAAAGCATGAGTTTGATTCATGAAGCTTTAGGAAACATGATGGAGATGAAAAAGGTCATAGAAACTCAAAGATTTGTAAGTTATGAAGGATTAAAGATAATAAGTGGATAAGTGAAATTTTGAATAAGAGGGTTTAAATGAATTTAGAGGTTGAATTTGACTTGTCATCTATGAAAATAAGAAGTTATAAGTGTTAGAATTAAGTTTGGATAACATGGAAAATTGGGTATGATTCTTAACTTTAAGAATTTGAATGAGATATGGAAGATTCTAAAGTGTTGGAATGATAAAAGTTAATTAAAATGGTTGTAGTTGAGTTTAGTGGTATGAAAGGAGCTTTGTATGAGGAAATTCAGTGAAGAGTTGATGAATTTTCGGGTGAAAAAACCTGTTTTAAGCAGAGTGTATCGGTACCCTGTGTATGTGTACCGATTCCCTCTTGAACGAAAAAATCCAGAATATAATAAAGGTACCGATACCCTAAAGAGGGTACCGATACCCTAAGGAGGGTATCGATACCCCCTAAAGGAAAAGTTAAAGTTTGGTTCATTAAATTCGTTTAAGCTATTAGTATCAATTTATAAGGTTTAGGCTTTTGATAATTGTCTCGGAAATTATGTTTATATAGATATCGAGCCTAAACGAATTCCGGAACAAGTGACAAGTAAGATCGATCGAGGGAAAGGAAAAGAGATATAGGTGAGTGCATATGCATAGCATGAATATAGTATTATAATCAGTTCTAGACTTGTGATAAGTCTAGATTCAATATTTTGATACATGATCACATTCCATATTATGATACATGACATTAATTCATATTATATGCATTATGTGACATGAATATGCATGAAAAGTTATATGAGCTATGTGATAAAGATATGGAAAATGATATGTCTGTGTGATAAAAGTATGGAAATAATATGTCTACGCGATATAAACTATGTGAATTGTGAAAGCCCATGTTATGTAGATGGGAACTATAGGTATAGTTGGCATGCCAAGAGTAAAGGGTCTACGCGATCCTTCGAGACAAATTCTACGTGGTCCTTCGGGACATATATATATTCTTTGGAATATGTATGAGGTCTTTTGAGACATCTACTTGATCCTTGGTATATGTATATGGTTCTTAAGGAATTTCTATATGGTCCTTAGAGACATACTATATGGTACTACGATGCAATTCTATGTGGCACTTCGGTGCAATTCTATATGGAACTTCGGTGTATTTCTACGCGGTCCTTCGGGACAAATTCTACGTGGCACTTCGATGCAAATTTATACGAGCTATGGTGACAGCATAGTGCATAACCTCACAGTACTCACATACCTCGGGTTCTCAGTATTGTATCATGGGTTATTGAATCTATTGAACTTATTAATATAAATTCATGATAGTTAATTTGATGAGATTATTGATAAGCTACATTGTTATGCAGCTTACATGGATTGTATAGATGATTTCATTACATTTCATCTTATTATGACATCATCATTATATTTCATTGTTATTATTATTATGCCTCACTAAGTCGATGACTTAGCTTGTGAGTGTTTCACACGTAGGATCAGAGAAGATCGACAAGCAAGGTTAGACAGCTGGGACAACATTACTCCTACAACTATCAGATCAGAAGAAACTTAAACAGTATGTTTTATTATGTGATAAATAAGTTGGCATGTAAACAAAGTCGTTAAATTAAATATGTGTGCTCTGATCGAGTTTTGGAATGTTTTAAATGTATTTATGTAAATGGTGAATGTATAGCGATGAAAGGTTAAATTTTAAGAGTTTATATATGTTTTACGGAAGTACTGTAGCAGTATTGTAGCAGGATATCAGTACCTGTAACAGGGGTATCGATACCCCTCTAACATTCTGGAAATTTTTAGCATCTGGTACTGTAGCATGGTATTGTTCATACCGTATTTAACTGTTCATAAAATGTACATTTTCTTAAATTGGTTATAACGAACATAATTTAATAATATATTATCATATTTTCTTAATATGAGTTCAAATGTTTTGTTATTTTATAAGAATATTGTTTTAAAAAGTCAATGTGACGTCTCGGACTCGTATCCGGGTCGGGTACGGGTTGGGGGTGTTACATGTACAATCATTTCTCTTTCCCTAGATATTTTAACATGGTTTGCCATTGTCTATGAGATAGTGACACTTAGA